CCCCCACACGGCAGCCCTTACCCCGCCCCTGCATACACCGGCCATGTAAAGTTTACCCGCATTGCAGACGCCCTCAACCCCCCTCAACCGCCTGCAACCAACCCAATCGCCAGGGACGTTCTGGACGCGTCGGTCCTGAGGGGCGGCTCCCGCGACCAGACGGCGCCGGCGGGCCTCGGCATGGCCGTGCTAGAGTCCGCATGAGCCCCCGATGTGACCAGATCCGCGGCCGTGCTTTCTTGTTTACTCGTTGCCGCAGTGCCAAAGGCTGCGGCGTTGAAAACAAGGCCGCCAAGGGAGCGGCGGATCACCCCTGCAGGTCGCGCTGCGCAGACGCCTGCGCCGCGCTGCTGCGCTCTTTCTCTGGCGGCAGGGGGCCTGCCCGCTGTGCATGTGCAGTCGCATGTCGCTCGTCCTCTCCTCTCTCAAGCATATGCTCTTTTGCGGGCCGCTCTGCGGCAGCGTGTGCCGTGCGCGTGTCAACAGACAGCGTAGCGGCGCCTCTCACAGTGCCCGCAGCAGCTGGAGGCGTAATGACCGCCCCCAACCACCGGCCACAAGACCACGACCGGGCCCAAGCTAGGCCGACAATAAGTGACTCAAATGCCAGGCCAATCAACCTTGCAACAAGAGAGTCACAATTCGAAATTTCAAACCAACTGATTTACAGGTCTCCCGCCAGCTCGGCGAGCTCCAGCCACCGCAGCTCCATCTCCTCGCTCTTGGCCACCAGGTCGGCCAGCTTCCCGCTGGCTTCCTCCAGCGCCGCCCTCTGGGAAGGGTCGGCCGCCAGCTTCGCCACCTTGGCCTCGAGGGCCGCCTGCTCCTTCCCGGAAGCTTCCATGGCCTTGCACAGCTTCTCGTACTCCTCCCTCTCTTTGAAAGACAGCGTCGTGCGCTTGCGCGCTGCCGGCTTGCTGCTGCTGGCCGCGGGCGCCACCACGGGCGCCGCCGCCGCTGCTGCCGCGGCCCCCTTCGCCTTGCCGCCGCCCTTCTTCCCCGCCGCCGGCGCCGCGGCCGCCGCTGTCGCGCTCCTGCCGTTGCTGGCGGCCGCGGCGGG